TACCAACCATCATCGTTTTAATATCCCGTTGAAAAACAATCTTAGAATATCTTTTTAAAAAAAACCAACAAAAAAAACCCCGTAAACCACCTTCAATATCTTGTCAGATGATTCTGACAAAGCGGACTATGACAAAAATTGAGCAGGCCTTAACAAATAGATTCAGCAATTTTTGAAACGGTCGACCACCTTCAATATCTTGTCCGATGAGTGTGACATGCTGGACTCTGTGTTTATAAAGATTCAGATCATCAGAAGGTTCCAGAAAATGGTACTGAGCACGAAATGTTCTTGATTTAACACTGACGGTAATGAGACCTAATCATTTATCAGAGTTATTGTTGACATAAGCTACTGTTATCCACTGAAAACAAAAAATAAAATGAGAATTTAACGTCCTACTTTTTGCTGCATCGATCGGGTTGATGGTGAGGGGTTTACGCCATATAGTGTGCTACGAGGGAACTCCCGAAGCGATGTTTCTGACTAATCTTATATCTGATTCCAAAAGAAGTAAATAGGGTATACGACATCGAGTTCAGGGCTCTACATATAATATACGCCTATAACAATTTACATACATTACAGTAGTAAACAAAACAAACACATATTGTTACAAAATGGTTATTTATAAATGAATCGAATTGGAGACTAACTTCCTGCCTTGGGTCGTGGGGGTGGGGGGCGAACGGTTAGCACAGGCGCGCTGTATCATAAGGTCTGTCATTGAGTCAACTGGCGTGGTTTTGATTCCCCGGTTGTACGTGACAATGGGTAGGGTCGCCTGTCCAAATTCGTGGATTTTCTCCAGGTCCGCCGGTTTTCTTCCACTGCTAAAGACCCCCTACGCGCAAAAGAATTATCGAAATTGAACCATATGTTAGTCTCGAAATGACATAGTTTGTGTCGAATGGACGTTAAACTCCATCCATCTCTCTCTCTCTCTCTCTCTCTCTGAAAAGGGGTTCAGCGTTCTACAAGTAAATTAAAAAGACACTTAAAATGTATAGTGAAGCTTGTGGTTGTCGAAAGAAGTAGATTTCAAGATAATTTTATCTCAGAGTTCTCTCCTAACTTAAATATGAATGGGCAGATTCGTCTGAATTATTGCATACTCTGTAATGTAAACATGTCCGACTAAACTGCGGAGTCAAATAAATAAAAACAAAAAGAAACATCGCAACAATGCAACAATTCAGACGAATCTGCCCATTTAAATTATCTTGAAATCTAATTTGGTTTAAAAACTGCAAATAATAATTTTTATTTCACCAACGTAGAATTATTAACGCATGTAACCGAATGTAACCGAATGTTTATTGAATTAAGTGAATAGAAGACGTGTCTTTAAATGTCATTTAAAATAGACGCCTTCTTGTATTTTTAGCACATGGCATTTCTTCCTATCGTTGTGAATTTCCCGGTAGTTATAAGTATTACAGGAGAATAAAAAAAAAAAATACGCGGGAAATAAAAGAATCACGATCATCAATTCGCATTATATCTATTTTTTCGGCGTTCGTCATTCGCCGTATAAGGGGAATCACAGACACTGGAGTAAGCCCCAGCGTCACTGTCTGGGCAAAATTTTCTTTCGTAGCACTCTAGATGAATGGCGTATGCTCGTTATCATTATCCCGATTGGTGCAGAAAAGTTGATAATCATACATGACCTAATCGATTGCAATTCAACTGGATTACTTCATATCTGACCGGGGGAGGGGGGGGGGTGGTGGATGGCTGAATGAATGGTTAACGTGTGCGCGCTGTATCTTAAAGTCTGTCATTGAGTCGACTGGCGTGGTTTCGAATCCCCGGTTGTACGTGACAAAGAGCAGGGTCGCCTGTCCAACCTCGTGGGTTTTCTCCGGGTCTTCCGGTTTCCCCCCACTGCTAAAGACCCCTATGCGCAAGCGAATTATTGAAATAAAATTAAACCATATGTTAGTCCCAAAATGACCTAGTTTGTGTCGAGTGGACGTTAAACCCTATTTCTCTCTCTCTCTATCTGACCTTTCCAATTGAAATTCCCCGTCTTCATTAGCCCAGTTCGGAGCAAAACAGTAGGACGTTAAACCCCATTTCATTTCATTTCCTATTGAAATTCAGCTGGATTATACAACGTGTCTGGGTGAAATTAAACTGGATTATTACTTAGTTGATCTTTCCAACTGAAATTAAACTGGCTTATTGAACCTATCCGATTGAAATTTAAATGTATTATTCAACCTTTCCCATTGGAATTAAACTGTATTATTACATAGTTGACTGGGTATTCGATACCTGCATTGGCCGATAAAGTTCGTCCAGATTTTCCGGAGTGTGGTTTCCCCTTGTCAGTGATGCAGGACGGAGGGCCTGACAAGGCTGCTGTCTAGTCGTTCGGATGTGACGAAAAAACGAGGTCTTGTGTACACATTGGCGTGCACGTAAAAGATCCCTAGGCAGTTGGAATTCGATATAAGAGTAGACCGTAGCTCCGCTACCCGGTCAAAACTTCGCTCATAGCACACTGTATGGCGTAAGCCCGTCTCCATCAGCCCAGTTTAGGAGCAGAACAGTAGTAGGACGTTAAACCCCATTTCATTTCATTTTATTTCATTTCATGTACCTCATTGACCGAAACGTTGTAGTACATTCAGTATTCTCTTTTCAGTTGTGGAAACAGAATTTCAAGAAATAAAAAAACCTCAAGTCTACTGGAAGCCATCCGGATAATCTGACAATTCGCTTCGATTACCGTAAACCTGTTTATTACTCTTTTATGAGAGTGATCCACTTCTATAAGAGTTTTGTTTCCAATCAAGTGATGTGACGATGTGTTTTTCAAGAGCACCTTGACAGCTCACTTGTACATACGGCTTGTTAGTATTTATTACTGCAACTAATTCCCCCCGCCAAGATTAAGTTAAGGATTTCACGAGGAGGGTTGAGAAGTATTAGAGTGATTGATGATTTCATGTGATTGGCTGGCAACAAATACACACGTAATTCACGAATAAATGCTAGTCAACATCGTTATAGGGTGTTTAACACGGTCGGTGTTCCCCTCACTCGACTACTGATGGTGGATTATACATGATTCAAACTGTCTCTAACGAGAAAAACACACCAACGGATTAGCGTTCAGGAATTGTGGAATAGCGGCATCGTCCATTAGCGTTCAGGAATTGTGGAATAGCGGCATCGGCCATTCCGAAAACTTTTTGTCCAATTGAACGAATAACATTGTCTGTAACGAGAAGACTAAACCAAAAGATTAGCGAATGATATGTTTTCAGGAATTGTGGAATAGCTGCATCGACCATTCCGAAAACTTTTAAATAAATGAACGAATGACATTGTCTCTAACGAGAAGAATAAACCAAAAGATTAGCGTTCAGAAATTGTGGAATATCGGCATCGGACTTTCCGAAAACTTTTAAATAAATGAACGAATGACATTGTTTATAACGAGATGAATAAACCAAAGGATTAGCGAATGATATGTTTTCAGGAATTTGGTAATAGCTGCATCGACCATTTATTCCGAAAACTTTTAAATAAATGAACCTTTTTTGTAACGAGGAGTACACATCAAAGGATTAGCGTACGAGATGTTTTCAGGAATTGTGGTAAAGCTGTCATTCTAACAACTTCTAAATAAATGACATGAAATGGGATTTATTCTAAAATCTATTCTCCACCGACTGGGATGATGAAGACGAATAAGAACTTTTAAACACGATTATTACACAGCTTATGAGAATATATGGTGTTAAATGAAATGTTATATTAAGCGCGTTCGCTTAACGAGTGATCAAATTGTGTGAAAATAAAATACCATATCATGTTTTCCTGAAAAGAAATATGGCAAATGTGACAAGCTAACCTTAACTCTTATTTTTTAAAAAAAAAGTCGTGATCAAATTGTGAAATCATTAAATCAGAAACATTTTATATCAAATCGCTGGTAATAATTATACATGATATGTGGTGAAAATAACGAAAATAGGAACTTTGTAGAGAAAGGAGCTATTCAAGACATATTCGCTGAAACACAACACAGGAATAATTTAGTGGAACTATAGCTTCCGTCGTGCTTTGTATATATCGAACAAAATAATCACTACGACGCTACTTTAAAGTCCATGTTCCAGCTAGGCACTTTATGGAGAAAGGAGCTATTCAAGACATATTCGCTGGAACACAACACGGGAATAAATTAGTGGAACTATACTTTTTGTCGTGCTGTGAATATATCGAACAAAATAAAAAGTTAGATTATTAGTACGATACCTTAAAGTTGATGTTTCAATAAGGATCTATTCAAGAAATATTCACTGGAACACAATACAGGAATACTATATCTTTCGTCGTGCTGTGAATATATCGAACAAAATAAAAAGTTAGATCACTAGTACGTTACTTTAAAGTCGATGTTCCAGCTAGGTGCTATTTAGAGAAAGTGGAGATTGATTCAAGAAATATTCGCTGGACCACAACACAGGAATAATTTAGTGAAAATATAGCTTCCGTCGTGCTGTGAATATATCGAACAAAATAAAAACATGAATCATTAATATGTTCCAGCTAGGCACTTCGTAGAGAAAGGGGCGATTTAAGAAATATTCTGTAGAATAAACCACAGGAATAAATTAGTGCTAAGAACAGTACTTATAGAATACACATAAGCCGCCGGAACATAATCCTTCGTATAAATTCGTTTTATTCAGACCAAGGAAAGGGGGGCGACCATGAAATATTGTGTAAAATATTAATAGGCCCTCGGAACAAAGTATTCCGTAGAGATTCATCGGGCAGGAGGTGTTCCAGAACAAGCTTTGTGTGAAGTATTGTGTGAAATATTAATAAGCCCTCGAAACAAAGTATTCCGTAGAGATTCATCGGGCAGGAGCTGTTCCAGAACCAGCCTTGCGTGAAACATTAATAAGCCCTCGGAACAAAGTATTCCGTAGAGATTCATCGGACAGGAGGTGTTCCAGAACAAGCCAGTGGAACAAGTCATTCCATAGGAAATCAGTGTTCTGTGAAAAACAGTGATAAAACAGCTGTCCCATGGAACGAAGCCTTCGTAACAAAAGTTAATCCCTTTTCATTTATTTTCAACGGTCATTTTGAATGTTTATTTACATGTTTTGTGATATTGTCTGGTATTCAACAGACTGTTCTGTTTATGAATTGTGTACAATGGCCATAAAGTGCACCACATATGGTATCACGGTTTTATCGTTCGCCCTGGGAGCTACGACTTTAGGAATGCTGGCGTTAGCAGTTAGTACAGATTCTTGGCTGTATATGTCCGAACCGGTCATTATTGCACCGGAAGTGAGGGAGTTATATAACATAACACAGAACTTTGTTGTAGAAGTCAGATCGGGATTATGGAGGGTGTGTACTATAAATATCGCTGATGGTGAGTATATTTTCTGTACATTTTCTTGTTATCCTTTCGTCTCCTGTCCAACCTCGTGGGTTTTCTCCGGGTCCTCCAGTTTCCTACCACTGTTAAAGACCCCTCTCTCTCTCTCTCTCTCTCTCTCTCTCTCTCTCTCTCTCTCTCTCTCGCTTTCTCTCCCTCTCTGTCTCTCTCTCTGTTATCCTTTCAATAATGTGATTGTGCGTAGGGGGCCTTTTTAGCAGTGTGGAATTTGGTGGGGGGGGGGACCCGGAGAAAACCCACGAGGTTTGATAGGTGACCTTACTTCATATCAAGTACAAGCGGATAATCGAAACCATGCCACTTGACTCAGTGACACACATTGTGGCCGCTCCAGTTAAGCCATTTGCCTCCACCCCACCCCACCCCACCCCATGTGTACTTGATGTGGTATAACAGTCAATCTGATTAACATACAGATCTATATTTCGTTGTAGTAAAAGGTCGCGTCAGAGGTCGCACAAACAGCTTTTGACCCTATGACGTCAGACATTGATTATTCAATCAGCGTTGACGTTTCTAATGGTTTACCCACAGTTCCGTGCATCACACGCCAAGAAGTCGCCGTAACAGATGGTTTCATTGGCTAATCCCTCACGCCATCCAGATCGCAGGTTATATAAGAACTCTTCCAGATCCTAGAGTAGTACAGACAAATAAAACGAAAATTTTAACTATAAAAAACGAAATTTTTAACTATACAAAAACGAAATTTTTAACTATAAAAAACGAAATTTTTAACTATAAAAAAACGAAACGAAATAGGATCTGTGTTTTAATCAGATTGTAACAGATTACGAAACAATTACGGCGCCTCTATCAGTAAGACCCTGGCTCACCAATCTGGAGGTCTCGGGTTCGCTCCCGGTGTTGGCCGAGAAAGCTTAATACTGCTAGAGGTACAGGACAGATGGCCTGGCAAGTAACGGTGTCTAATCGTTCGGATGGGACGAAAAACCGAGGTCCCGTGTACAGATTGGCGTGCGCGTAAAAGAGAGAGAGAGAGAGAGAGAGAGATATGGGGTTTAACGTCCACTCGACACAAACTAGGTCATTTCGGGACTAACACATGGTTTGATTTTATTTCAATAATTCGCTTGCGCGTAGGGGTCTTTAGCAGTGGGGGAAACCGGAGGACCCGGAGAAAACCCACGGGGTTGGACAGGCGACCCTACTCCTTGCCACGTACAACCGAGGATTCGAAAACACGCCAGTTGACTCAATGACAGACTTTATGGTACAGCGCGCACGTGCTAACCATTCAGCCACCCAACCCCCCGCGCGTAAAAGAACACTTGACAGTTGGAATTCGAAATAAGACAAAGTCGTAGCGCCGCTGTCCAGACAAAAGCTCCCTCATAGTACACTGTATGAGTATGGCCGTCTTGATCAAAACAAAACAGTAGGACGTTAAACCCCATTTCATTTCATTTTTCTTGGTTTTTTTTCTTCCTAAAGCAGCATGTTCATTGACATAGAAACGTAGAGTTCAACGTCCACTCGACACAAAATAGGTCATTTCGGGACTAACAGTGGTCTTTGGCAGGGGGAGGAAACTCGGATGACCCGGAGAAAATCCACGAGGTTTGACAGGCGTCCCTACTCCTTGTCACGTACTAGCGGGGAATCAAAACCAAGCCACTTGATGAAAGACCTTATATTGTCACGCGCACGCGGTAACCACCAGACAACCTAATCCCCTTAAATGACATAAGAAGTTATTGCAAAAGTGGTTATTTCGGGGCTCTACATACCCTATTTCAACCATGTTTGCAATAATTTAATTTTTATTTACAAACTGGTTACCGCACCGCTTTAAGGAAATAATTGATGTATAAAAAGTCGGTATTAATGCATGATATATTTACGATTTCGAAATTGTCTTGAAATTAGAAACGATTTATTTAAAAAAAAAAACTTTATTCGTGGTAAGATCAGCCTTAACACTTTTTACAAGGATATATGTTCGAAAAAACAAAATTTATTTTTAAATATTAAGAAAAAAATAATCCATATCTTGCAATTTTTTGTCTAATTGAAGGAAGAGGCGGGGAGACGGGGTCTAACTTTCATTCCACACAAATTTGGTCATGGAACCGGAGAAAACCCACGAGGTTGAACAGGCGACCCTACTCCTTGTCACGTACAACCGGGAAATCGATACCACGCCAGTTGACTCAATGATAGACCTTATGATGCACACGTTAACCATTCGGTCATCCAACCCCCTGACATCTTTAGCAATAACAAGATATTTTTTTAACCGTTAGAAAAATATTCATATCATATAACTGTATCTAATTACGTCTTAGCACGCGATATATTCATACAACACCATCTCTGTCTAACATTCATACATAGTTATCTATAACACCAGCTCTGTCTAACATTTGATAAATATGTTACATTATTTTTTATATAAGCCACTCCATCTCCACCCGTATTAATGTTTCTGAGTTTGACGGAAAAAAATCATGTCTGACTGTAAGGAGAATAAATATATGGAAGTATAACAGTGCCAAAAATCTGAAGATAGACAACGTTTCAAAATACAATACATGTACATGTATTTCAATGTTTCAAAATATTATGGTGTAAAAAATGCAGCAATGTAACCCTTCTCTTACATTGTAAAAGTCATTCATACATTCTGAAGAATATAAACACTTTTCATTGTCGACCTACGTATCTGACAATTGGCATATGCCTTATATGAAACGGTCACGTGAACATCTGCAGACGGGGAAAATGGCGGAAAGAGGCGGAAATCAACGTAAATATCAGTCGGAGCTCATTAATTGTACTTTGAATTTTATGCTAGATTTCCACTGTCGTGCTATACGTTACGATAGGATTGCCCCTATTGAGTCCACGATCTGCTACGTGCAGATGCGTACGGATACGTTTCGATACGATTAACAATAGAGACTTTTGGCAAGCGTATTTTCCTGGTCCGTATCGCGTATCCGTATGGATTTTGCGTGTGACGTCATCAATGTCTGTGTATTTCTCATACGTGATACGGCACACGGATACGGCAGCACGTATGGAACGGCTTTCATACGGAAATGGTCCGTATAACACTGTCGTCTTTTTACCGTTTTTTTTGCTACTTTTAGACGCTGAAATGTTGCATCATAGCGTTTTTATGAATCTGTTTGATAAAACAAAAAGTGAGTTACTAGGTTTTTACTTTTGACGGGAGATCTAGTGTAGGCCATCGAAAGTATAAAAAAACCGAAACGAAATATAGATCTGTATTTTAATCAGATTGTTTGAAACATTGAAACATACATTTCGCAAGGCTGTCTATCTTCAAATTCTGATTGACATGACTAAGATCTATATCGCATGATGTCTATAAATTTCATTAAATATCGGTGATAATGTTACCACGCGAGATGTCATCGTTTTGTTTATCAGCTTTAGATTAATCACAACTGTCAAATTATACGACTATTTACAGTGGAAGTCAATCTGGTGGACCTAATCACACGGAGAGAAATTAAGAGGGGCGACGGAGAGGTTCAATCGTGGGTAGATTTATGTCGGACGGCTAGTGTTAATTGTTGACACCGACCTCAAGGAGGCTTGAGATATCTATATGTTGTTAGAATTAGACTTGTCGTTGGGTAATACAATCTTTTAGGTACAAAGAATTACTGATTTGAGGTGGATTTAAAGGAGCTAAATCTCTATTCTTTGGGACCTAGAAATGGACACGAATGGGTTGCAACGCATATAATAATGTAATATGAATGTATATAAATTGATTTACATTCAATCGTTTCGGGTTTTACTGTAATTTCTAATCTGTTATATTCGGCGAAATACGCGAAGAGTCTGAACTGAATGCCAGTCTTTGGCGTCTGGTTATTCCAGTCTACACCGATAGTATTCTCCAACAAGGGGTATGTTTAGCCCCCTTCATCGAATCGCTCCATACAACTGGCGTTCGAAATTTTTCGTGTGCCAATTTTAAAATCTTAATTTTGTCTTAAATATTGGATATCAGAATTCCATCTTTTCACGGTAGTATAACAAAATCGAAGACTGTGGATGATATTGAGTTAAAGACTTGGCTCCTTTAAGAACCGGGGGGTTGGATGGCCGAATGGTTAGCACGTGCGCGCTGCGCTTTATCATGTACGGTCTGTCATTGAGTCAACTGGCGGGGTTTCGATTCCCCGCTTGTACGTGACAAGGAGTAGGGTCGCCTGTCCAACCTCGTGGGTTTTCTCCGGGTCCTCCAGTTTCCTCCCACTGCTAAAGACCCCTACGCGCAAGTGAATTATTGAAATAAAATTGAACCATGTGTTAGTCCCGAAATGACCTAGTTTGTGTCGAGTGGACGTTAAACCCCATTTCTCTCTCTCCCTTTAAGAACTGCGTGCACTCATTGATTGTAATAAAATCTTTGGGTTAATATTCATAACGAATGATTTAATATATCATAAAGTATTTTATTGGATCTAGAATTATATGTGCTGCTCTCTTGGTAATACGAACATTATCACAGATAGAAATTAGTCTAGGATTAAATGAAATGAAATGGGATTTAACGTTCTACTGTTCCCCTCCGAGGGGGTCACGGTGGCTAAGTGGGTAAGACACTGGCGCGCTAGTCTGGAGGTCGGGTGTTCGATCCCTGCATTGGCTGGGAAATTTCATCCAGATTTTCCGGTGTGGTTCCTCCATGCCAGTGATGCAGGGCCTGACAAGGACAGCTGTCTAGTCGTTCGGATGGCACGAAAAACCGAGGTGCCGTGTACAAATTGGCGTGCACGTAAAAGATCCCTTGACAGTTTTATCTTCGATATAAGAGTAGGCCGTAGTGTTGCTGTCCGGGCAAAATTTCGCTCATAGCACACTGATAGCGTATGCCCGTTTTCATTAGCACAGTTCGGAGCAGAACAGTAGGACATTAAACTCCATTTCATTTCATTTGTTCTGCTCCGACTGCGTTCACGACCAAT